GGGAGGAGAATAATAGCATTATTTTCTGTGTGTCACACTCATACAGAACCTTATATTCTTGGTCACATAAATATTTAGGGTTTTTTTCTGTTCCTCAGAATTGCCATTTCAATATTGAGCTCACCTCTTTATTTAAAAAGTATTTGGATTCTCAATCTCTTGATTTGGTTTGATTCTATTTTGAAACTAATCAAGAAAGGGAAATAATAAGAATGTTCATATATGGAAATTACTCATTTCCTGAAGACTATTATCTACCTGTTCTAAACATTTGACCCTGTTTTTAAGTTAAAATCAAAACCAAGGAATATTGAGATGAATGTTTGGCTTATATGAGCACTAGAGAGAAATTTTATAAATCAATTATTCACCAGATAAAGTTTTCTCTTCGTGATAGAAGAATTTTTTAGAAATCCTGGGTATTGTACTTAACCCTAGCTAACCAATTTTAAAAGCCTGTATCCTTTTGAGAACTATATTAATATGAAAAACACTTTTATAAGCAGTCAAGTAAGAATGTTCCAGTGACTACCTGTCCTGATACCTAGTCTTGTTAAAACTTTCTTTTGCAGGGCATTTTCATGTTTGGTTTACAGTCAGTGCAGGGTGGGCAAGATAAAGTTTGAGCTAGGGATACTGAAAAAAAAAAAAAAAGAAAGATCAAAGGACGAGAAAAATGATGGCTCTTGTTTGGCGGTAAACCCAAGACCCCAATACTTTTTTCCTCATGTGTATGGTGCTTCTTATGACTTGTCTTGTATTTGCCTTTCTGATACCCATCAGAACTGCTGCTCTAACTCACATTCTTTACCTTGCCCAGATCTCCATGTAAGGAACACTTTATGACCAACTGCCATAGGACTGATGGATTAACCAGTGTTTGGCTTTATTCGAAGTCTATGCCCTGCACAGCTCTTGTATGTATTTTAGATGCTAGGAAGTTTTTAGCATGTGATGTGTGATTCTTGTTTGAATGTTTATTACAGGTACCTTGTGAATTCCAGAACAGAGACTGTGCCTCACAATTGTTGGTCCATGAACTTGCACTATCTTTCATGGTAATGTTCTGAAAATACAATCAGGAAAAGCAGCCAACAAGTTTGGAATTTAAAAATAGAACCATGTATCATGAAATTTAAAAATGAATCTCTTCTCCATTTTCCCCATCCCTAAGTAAGTAAGGGAAAACTCTGGCCAGATGATAGTTTAGTGGAATAAACTGATTACTGTTTTAAAAAAGCTTCACCACAGATATTTTCCAATTTCTCTTTTTTACCTTTTTGAAAAATTACTTTTTAGGGATATTTGGTATATAATGTGCATAAAATTATTTACTGATTTATGGGCAAAATGATACAAGTAGCATTTTTATTGAACATCATTTACCTCAGATACTCAACCAGCAGTACATTTTTTATGCAGTCTCAACCCATATCCTATTTGTTACCTCTCAAAATATTGGTAAGCAATTATTTTAGCTTTATTCTGTATTTCTTGTCAGTGTTTTGGGCACAGGTTGTTGTACTACTGTCAAATTGTACTTGCTATTTTTTCTGCAAGTATTTAACAAAAAGCTAAAAAAAAAGCCCCATTAAAACCCCACCTTGGGTAAGTGATTGTTAAATATTGTACAAAGAAATGTATGGTATCCCCATTCCATCCCCGTTAAATAAAAAAATGAATATGGAATGATTTGCATATGCAGTTTTTTCTTTAGCTACATGTTCTTAAAGAGGGGAGTATTAGCTTTGTTAACTTATGGTGAGGCTTATATGCTTTGTAAGATTTGCAAAATGGTGAGATGTTGTAAGAAGATGGTAGTCTCACTAAAGTATGTATCTTTATTCTGCCATTTTAGGAAGTCTGAGACTAGCTGGAATTAGGTGTCTTTTTGTATGGCAATAGAAATATTTGTCTCCACTAATAGTCATAAGACAAAAACTAAGTTCCCAACTTTATACTAGTCTACTAACTGAATAGAAAACCCCTGGTATTTCCACACTGAGGGCAATAGCTTTTATGTATTTTTTTTTTAATTTGCAAAGGCTTTTATCCTGTAACGAAAATACAAAAAAAAAAAAAGTGGAAAAGCTCTCCATCGTTACACTGTCAGGTTTGACACTAATGAATTTCCAATTTTTTTAGAGTGAAGGTGAAGTAAGGGGCTACACTTAAGTCTAGAAAGAACCTGCATTCCCTTCTGTGTATAAGAAGGCAAACCAACTGGGGTATTTTTACATAGTTTTCACATCATATTCTGCAGAGAACTGGTTCCTGAGGAAATTGGCAATAGCACATGTTCAATATATTATGTTAGAGTATGTTAACGTTTTGTTTTTGGACCGCATCTGGTGGGGCTACTGTGGGACCTTCTAGGGTGGGGATGGAATCCTGGGCCCTGGCATGCAAAGCAATGTGTGCTTTGAAGTATTTCACTAGCCTAAGGGTAGGAAGATCCTGATTTTTGTAGGGTATCTATCTTTCTCCCCTGCTTAAGTCTGATACAAGGAGTTCATGAGTTTGTGCTGTTTGAAAAGCAACATTCTTCAACAGTAAATAAAAGTACCTTTAAGCTGTATTTGTTGGTATTACTCAGATTTTTTCACTAGGGCTTTTTTTTTTACTCCCCCCTCCCCCAATTGGTCTAAGCAGCTTGGTGGTGGGGTGGGGGCACTCCCTGAAATGCTCACTGGTTGCTCAAGTGGACCAGGTAGTTCACTTGTGGGCCAGGTAGTTCACTGCTAGGACCAAAGATTGTTCAGGCCTTGTGGTGCCAGGGAACAGCAGGGATCCACCAGGATTGTGTCTGATTCCGTGCTCTTTCCCAGCACTGCTTCACATAATGAGATACAATTAATTGATAAGACTTTAGAAGTAAATTTTATGTGGTTTTTTTTTGGGGGGGGGGGATTGGGGGATGTTAGGAACCTAGAAATGAAAACATTTCTTCCCTTAAAAATGTATGAGGAACTGGAGAGATAGTACTGTGGGTAAGTAAGATGCGTGCTTTGCAGGCTGCTGACTTTGCAGGTTCATTCTTGGCACCCCATATGGTCTGAGTTCTGCCAGGAGTGATTCCTGAGTCAGGAGTAAACCCTGAGCACTGCTAGGTGTGGCCCAAAAATAAAGAGGAAAAATGTTGGATTTTGGACAGATATTTACTAACATTTTTTCTGAATTGCTTGTTTCATTGAAAATAAAAACCTACCATATTAGGTTTTCAGTGAATATACATGAATTTTGAAGGATTTCCGTAGTTCTATGTAGCTAAAACAAGATTTCTCTTACTATCAGTTCTTTCAGGTGCTTTTGCATTCACTGCCTTTAAGATACAGTATTTTCCCAGAACAGCTTTGATTTTTGTTTTGCTTTTGGGACATGCCACGTGGTTTTCAGAGGCCACTCCTTTCCTGGCTTACGCTCTGTCCAGGCACTACAGCCTGTTGGGCAATCTCTAGTCCTCTAGAATATATATATATATGTATATATATATATATACACACACACACATATATGTATATATGTATGTATATATATATTTACAGTGCAAGTGTGAGGTTATTGCTTTCAGTGACAGTGATGCTACCATATTAAGTATTTTGGCAAAATACTCCATAATACATGCAGGCTGCTATGTAGAAACAGTTTGAAAGTCTTAGCTTTAGTGAGACACTGCTGAACAAGTAAAATGAGTGTGATGAAAACTTAGAAGTCAGGGTTTACAGAACAGTCTCTACCTGAAAGAGCTACTTTCATGTTCTTAAACAGATAAACCACTTCTTGCAGCAGCTCTTCATGGATGCGTTTAAAGGTAAGTAGTAAGTAAAGGCATAGAGGGAAGGGGTGGTGGTGGGGGGGGTGTCTTCAAGCAGTGCTCAGGGGACCATGAGCCTTCTGGCATGTACAAGGACCCGGGGAAGCTGAGGGCCACCAGGACCACAAACTCAAGGCCTACTGCTAGCAGGGGCTTTTAATGTCGATTAAATTCAAGTTCAATTCCAGGGTCTGCCAATCATTTTTAAATGAATTGATTTTCTCACTTGTAAATAAGAGTACCTAAATATCACAAGGCCCTAGAAAGTTAAGAGGATTGAAACTGCAATAGTGTTAAGTAGTCTGTCATTTTAAACCCTTTTCCACGAACAACAGACAACTCTTGAATAAATGAAGTAGCTTACAATGAATTCTTGTTAAATTTCACTTAAAACATACATCTGTTATAAGTGCATGTGGTCCTGAATTTATACGGCAAGTCCCTGACATTGCTAAATTCATCTCGGAATTAAGTAAGTAAGTAAAGGCCCTCCCGTTGATCATCAATTTCCTCGAGCGGGCCCAGTAACGTCTCCATTAGAGACTTTGTTGTTACTGTGTCTGGCATATCGAATACGTCACGAGGAGCTTGCCAGGCCCTGCCATGCGGGCGAGATACTCTCGGTAGCTTGCCGGGCTCTCCGAGAGGGGCGGAGGAATCGAACTCGGGTCGGCCATGTTGGCTTCGTGCAAGGCAAGCGCCCTACCGCTGTGCTATCGCTCCAGCCCATCTCGGAATTACTTAATATTATTTTAGTTAACATTGCCAAAAACTTCACATTATTTGTGGTAGTTATTTTCCAGAAATTTTATAAAGGGCTTGTTTGGGTGAATTCTGATTTAGTTTGGCCAAAATAGGCATAATTAGCTACATTTAAAAAAAAATTAAAAAGATCATACACAAAATTCTTATGTAACTTGGCATGCATCATATTCTGAGAAATCTAGAAGGAAACACTTCAATTTTCTTGCCTTTTTCTTCATGTGAGTCATCTCTGGCTAAATGGGTCAGTCTGTGTAACCAGAAGACAGAGCTTTTGAGGTACATTTGAAATTTGTAAGGCAAAGTAATATAATTCAATTCTTAGCATTATTTCTTTTTCTTGCTGCTGGACTGGTATGAATTCTTCAAAGATACCATCATATAAATACTCCACTAAATAAGCATAAGGTTCAAGACTAAATTCTTCTCATTTATTTTTTTAAAGGGTTACAATATAACCTAAGTCACTATTCATAAATCATGTAACTACTCATAACCCAAAGTTAAGACAATAATTATTCTCCATGTATAATAGAAGCCCATAAATACAAAAATACAGATTTATAAATATAAGAAAAAGGAATAAACATGTCAAAGGACAGTCTTTTGTTTTAATAAAAAATTGTGACTGAAACTCTGAAGCATTGGTTACATTCATAACCAGCTTAGAGAAGATGTTGCCCACTGCCTAACATCTGTAGGGCAGTTAGGGTATTTCTGCAAAGCATTCATGATTTGAGTATTGTCCAAAAGAAGCTTCATCAGTTGGTACTCCTTCTGCGCATTTACTGATGTTCTTTCCATGGGCTTTATTAATTCTAATTGTTGTAAGTGTTCAAATGCCTGAAAGATGAAAGTGAATTTAAAGTTAACTCAGAAAAGAAGGATTTTGGTCAGCTGTGGAATAGAGTGTCAGAACATAAAAGTTAATATAAATCATTAGGGCATAAAAATTTTCAGTGATCTTATAAAAGCTGCATATGACAAGTAAGACAGTGCCAATGAATTGATACTACCGATACACTGAAACAGATTCCTAAGCTTTATATTATTTTAGGGTCTCATTGTGGGAAACAATTTCAGAATATCTTTGTGAACTAGGAAATTTATTCTGATGAAATAGCTCAGATACTCATTTTGAAAATGAGAAAATACCAGAGGTTATGGGCCTTAGTATTCACTTGCCAGTGAAATATTTAAAATGTAAACACAAAGAGGCAGCTCAAGGTGGTAGGGCAGAAATCTAACTTGTGAGGTCCCAAGTTTGATACGTGGCACCACATGGGCCTCAAGCACCTCAGGATAGAGATTTGTTTTCAAGCTGATAAGAGTTTAAAGGCTCAGGTAGCCCTTTCTAGTCATAAAACTCCATAAACCATGACTGTCAGATAAGAACTTCAAGAATGGGATGAAACCAAACTATAAGTACTAAATACTTTTCCTCCTGTTTTAGAAACAAATGAATTCTGACTGCTAGAGATAAAAAGGGATGCTAAAGGATTTAAGGATCCACTGTTTTAAAAGGAAAAGATGTTCAGAGACAGACTGAGGGATAGGAAGGGAACTAAGGACACTGGTGCATGGAGTGGTGCTAGAACCTAACCATGAATAAATTTTTAACTCTTGATGAAAAAAAATTTCTTCCCATAAAGTCCTCTAGGGCTGCCTGTTCAGTAACATAGCCATAGCCTTTCGTTTGAATTTCAAAAGCTTTAAGTTTAAACAGTGTGTAAAAGTCAATGAATCAAAAATTAAAAAAATTTAAGTATGCTTAGAATAATTCAATTGCAAATGTACCTTAGCTAAAAATGTTATGGGCTCTAAAGAGCAGGTATTTCCAGTGACGAGTGATTTAAGATGTGCTTTAAATCAAAATGCCCGGCAGAGCCTGGCAAGCTCCCCATGGCAAAAACAGTAACAACAACTCTCACAATGGAGACGTTACTGGTGCCCGTTTGAGCAAATCGATGAACAACAGTAGGACAGTGCTACAGTGCTTAAATCAAAATATCACTGTCACTGTCCTCCCGTTGTTCATCGATTTGCTCGAGCGGGCCCAGTAACGTCTCCATTGTGACACTTGTTAATGTGTCACATAATTCTGCCTGCCCACTAATGGGATTTTTAGTCTGTTCTTTTAGTTTTGTATGGTATATGTGTTTTTTTACTGTTGAAATTATAAGCTCATCAACCGTTTGGCAGTAAAGAGATTATAGTTTTATTTAACTATTTAAGCTATCGCTCCCGATAGCACAGCGGGTAGGGCGTTTGCCTTGCACGCAGCCAACATAGAGGACCCGAGTTTAATTCCTCCACCCCTCTCGGAGAGCCCGGCAAGCTACCGAGAGTATTCGATATGCCAGACACAGTAACAACAAAGTCTCCAATGGAGACGTTACTGGGCCCGCTCGAGCAAATCGATGATCAACGGGAGGGCCTTTACTTTACTTTAACTATTTAAGCATTTATTTATATTGAACTCTTTTCAGCATGTCATTGGTAATAATAGACAGTAGAGGGCAGTACAGCTCCACAAACTGAATTTGGCTGCTTCCGGATTAAATATTTTTAGATTAACTTTCTGAAAGAAAATTCCCATGAAAAATGCCCAGTGTTTGAAAATTAATGAAAGTACCATATGAGTTTTATGTAAAAATATAGTTTCAGAAAAAAATGAAAATTTACCTTCATAACAACAGGTTTCTCAAAATTATAAACAGAATGGGCCTTCCTTTGAACAAACTTCTGGAACTCTGGACAGAAAGCAATGATAACATTAATAGATTCAAGTAACTAGGTAAAGTCAGAAACTACCAAAGCCTCATCTCACCATTATAGACCATTTGAAAATTAAAGGGCTCCTCTTCATAGATGTCATTTAAATGTTTCATTGCTATTATAAGACAGATTTCCAAAACAGAGAGACCTACAGGGAAAGAGAAATAAATCAATTGTATTTAATGATACATAAAATTTAAAAATAACTGTCCTCCAACAGAATGGTAAAGTCTAAGGGTGGGGTGGGCAAGTAATATACAGGTTCAAATATATTTTAGTTATTGTTATCTTTTTGCTAGATTCTTACACTGTGGGTCTCAACCCCTTAGCAAAAGGGGGTCATGAATATCTTGGCAGCGGGAAAAAGTTATGGAAGATGCAGTGACAAAAAATTCAAAATCAAGCATAGAATGCTCTCACCACAGTTACATTTCTTAGGTCAAATGGGATTTCGAGTGAAAAAGCTTCAAAAGCCATGGTCTTGATCATCTTGATCTCTGGAAATTACATCTATTTTTTTTTTCTGGAAAGAACAATTATTAGATTCTAAAAAAGGAATAGAGAAACTCAAATGGTCAAAAAGTAGTTCTTTGGTAGCACCTGGCACAATGATAATGCCAGTAATAGCCTTAGCTGGATGTCCAATGTGGAGTGGCAGCTAGCATTTTTTTAGTAGATAAAGTTTCTTTCATGTTAAGTGGGACTAATTTTTAAAAGAGCTATTTTATAAGGCACCAGTGCCCAATGTTGTAATTTTGAAAATCATTTCATTACCTAAAGATTCAAATATAATGAAAATTATACTAATCAAGTGATAGCACAACTGTAGGGCATTTGCCTTACAAGCAGCCAACATGGCCAACCCGAGTTGGATTCTTCCGCCCCTCTCGGAGAGCCCGGCAAGCTACCGAGAGTATCTCACCCGCACGGCAGAGCCTGGCAAGCTACCCGTGACGTATTTGATATGCCAAACACAGTAACAACAAGTCTCATGATGAAGACGTTACTGGGCCTGCTCGAGCAAATCAATGAATAACGGGAGGACTGTGACTAATCAAGTAGAGATCTCACCATGTACAATATTTGCTTTAGAGTCCATGCTACACAACTGGTGTGCTTCCATTAGATCTGCTGCAGTCATAAATGGGCATGAGACTGTCACACGATTTAAAGCAAGCATCTAGGAAAAGCATATCAGAAGAATAATCATGTATTTGTTGGGCATTTTTGAGATCAAAGAATAAATATCATTAAAAGTCTATGAGGTAGTAAATATTGAAAGTATCTCGTATTTACCTCTATTAAAATACAATATTTAAATTCATATGTGACAGAGTAAAGGATTAAAGTTCTTGCTGTTTCCCTATCCATTTCCCCTAGAATTATCTTGTTCATTTACAACTCCTATGAAGAATAATTTTTAAAGTAGTAAGAGAAGAGACCAAATACAAATGAGAAGACTAAGTCCTAAAAACAGACAAAAGGGAAATCTCTACAACCCAACCAACCAATTCAGGTCACTGTGAAGTGACAGGTAAATCAGCTACTTCATACTCAGTTGTATAAAAATAGAAAAGAAGAAACCAAAGTCACATCCAGAAACAAATCTCATTGAAGGCATATCTAGTCTTCACGTAGCTATCTTTTTAACAACACAAGTCCTGTATCTGATGATTTGTAATTTTCCTAACATTTAAATTTAGTCATCTGAATAGGACTGGCAAATGAGTACATAAACACGTATGATATTCATTCAGTTAAATATGAATTCAGGTAAACAATTTCTCAGTGTACTCATGTTCCATGCAGTATTTGGGAAAACATACAAACCTATGTAAGAAACTTTTAAGTGGGGCCGGTGTGATAGATAGTATAGCAGGTAGGGCATTTGCCTTTCACGCTGCCTACTAGGGTTCAATTCCCCGGCATCCCATATGGTCCCCCAACCACTGCCAGGAGTAATTCCTGAGTGAACAGCCAGGAGTAACCCCTGAGGATCACTGGGTGTGACCCAAAAAGAAAAAAAAAAGATGTCAGATACATCTTGGGTTTGTTGGATTGCACCCATTCACAGTTCTCCGGAGGCACTACCATTCCTCTATGTTTATCTTTAGCTTTTCTGTGCTCTGCTTCCTCCACCTGTTAATCACTCATTTCCACTAAGCAGAATCTGTGACTTGTAAAGTCAAATTCCTCAAAAATCTCTGGATTTGGATTTGTAAGTGAGATACTGATTTTCTTCTTTCCTTATGTCCTTTTGCATACTTTACTTTAGAGCAATGTCCTTTTTGAACAGACACAGGGAGACAGTTAATGCTATGCTTCTGTAACTTGGGAGTTAATGGACTCCGGATAATATTCACTCTTGGGCATCTGTTTTCTTGACTTAAGCCTCAGTTGCCCTTAGTTCTAGCACCCCAAAAGCAGGGTCCCAATGAAGGACTGGATGGACCCAGCTTGCATTAAGTATTATTGCACCATAATACTTAACTGTAAGTTAAGAGCACAGTCATGGACAAATTCTGTCATGATTCAAAAACAACTGGACATGGACCCTGCTTGGGGTAAGAAAGAGCTCATCTGGCCTGAGTACTATAGTCTGAGATATCCCTATGAGAGCCACCCTATAAGCTTAATGTATCTCTTACTGTATTCACACAAATCGAGTGATATTATTAAGAAGTAGAATTAAGATGAATGTTTAAATGGTTGTTTGACTAAAAAAAGGAGAAACACTCTTAGATAAAATTTTGCCCTTGAGTGGATCTCCTAGCTGCAGGAGTTATTCTAATCAGAAAGAAGGGCTTTCATATGTTGATTGTGCTACCTCACTTGGGTGTAGGTGCTACCCCCAATGCTTGGAGATTGGGCACTAGACTAAGGCTGTGAGATGGTGCAGGGCACAGAGGGGCTAGCATGCGGGACAGGAGACAGGAATGGGGATAAGCTTAGTGAGACTGGAACAGGCAGGTGGGGAGAATAGAATAAACGGCAACTGATCACCAACCAGCTTGGTGGCCCTGTTCCCTCCTTCATGTATCTGTTGGTGGCATGGGATGAGGAAATGGCTCATAGCCAATGAATGCACATGGCGGGTGAGAGAGACCATGCCACCTCCTTGCAATCACTTATTTATTTTGTGATTATACAAAAGAAACTTTTAACTTTTTTTTTGGTGGGGGTAAGTGGGGCATACTGGAGTGACTCAAAGCTTCTTTAGGGCTCTATGCTCGTATTTCACTTCTGGTGGTGCTCAGGGGACATAAGTGTGATCAAACCTTGGTTACTATACTATCTTTCTGGACACAATTTTTTTTCAATTATGTAAACTAGATCCAAACTTATTCAAGCCTTTTCCTTTGTTTTATAATTTCCACCAAATTCCAAAATTTTAATTAAGAAAATTCAAAACAAAATCAGGATATTAACTTATTAAAAATCTATGACTGGAGTAATACAATATAGTTGGTAGGGTGCTTGCCTTGCATGCAGCTGACCTGGGTTTGATCCTGGCACCACATATGGTTCCCTAGCTCCAACAGGAGTGATCCCTTGGTATGCTCTCACCCCACCCCCAGCGTTCACATTTGAAGGCAGAATATTTTTCCAGAAAAATTATGTATTTATTTTCTATATTCTGTAAGTTAGTGCATAAAGTTTAATTTTCGCAACTAAAATTCCTATCCTACTAATTTTTAGACCCAAAATTTCTTCATGATAGAGAGATACTGCTGCAAACTGCAGTGTACCTTTTATTTTTCATTTTTTTTTTCCTTTTGGGTAACACCCAGCAATGCTCAGGGGTTATTCCTGGCTTTGCACTCAAGAATCACTCCTGGCAGTGCTCGGGGGACCATATGGGATGCTGAGGATCGAACCTGGGTTGTCCGTGTGCAAGGCAAACACCCTCCCTGCTGTACTATCGCTCTAGCCCCTGCAGTGTACTTTTGATGAATGGAAGGGTGATGATGTTAACAAGAGGGAAATATAACAGACAAAATTCTTAACTTTCCTCAGCAAAAAGAATGGAAAAAAAGCACCATTGTAAAGTCAGAAACAAGCCAGTAATGGGTCTAGCAGCTGAGTGAGCTGAAACAGTTAACCTTAAGGAGCCTCAGTTTCTTCAAAGAAAAGAATAGGCTTGCTTATCAAGCCTGCATTCTCCCTTGAACACATTATTGTGCTTGCTTATCTATGTCACTTTGCTTTTTCTACCCTGGAGAAACACTGTTCTCTTGAGCATATACGTGTCTATCTCTTCTCCCCTCACATCTTTCTAAATAAGTTTCAATTAAAACTGCTTTGCTACTCGTGCACAAACACACACACACATACACACACATATATACAGGATAAAAGTGCCTAAGGGTTAAGGGTTAACAAAAAAGGAAATATTGAAAATATTAGATATAGTGTTACTTACTATGACACTATATTACATTGTGATGGAAATCAGTAAACAACACTTTTTAAAATGGGCTGGAAAGATACAGTGTGTAGGGTGCTTGCCTTGCATGAGTTTGATCCTTGGCAGGACATATGGTCTCAAGCCCTATCAGCTTGAGAGCCAGGAGTAAATGAGCTTGGAGCCAGAAGTAAGTCCTGAGCACTACCTACCAGGTGCATCTCCAAAACCAAACAAACCAAATGGAACGAAAGAAATTCCAAAGCACAGAGCCAGGGGTAACATTTCTATATATTAACAAACATTGCCATGCTGAAACAAAAGTCACAAATAAAATATTTCTAGCCACTATGAAAGAAATTAGTATTTAAAATATACTTTAGGCGGTATGGTACCACTAGCAGGTTAACCTGTACCTGCGGGGAAAGTGCATCAGCAGTCTCAGTGCCTTCAGACTTCCTGATACCCCAAAATTGCCGCTGTGCCTCTGGCCAGCCCCCAACAATTTGGGGCCAAGTTTACCAAGAAATTAAACGGCCAAAAGTTAGGTATGTGAGAGTCACACCCACAAACCACCTCTGGCTCAGCTATACAAGCTCATTTATTGGCCTTATTTCAGAGACCCATATATCTTGAAAGAGTCAAAAATCACAGTTAGTGCCAGTGGCACAGCACACTGGGTGCGTGGGCATGCCCTCAGGGCATATGCCACTAGTTCATTTCTCTGGAAAAGATGGAACAAGGACCATGATCCAGAGACACACAAAAGAATCTCCGAACTTAGCAGCTCGCTGCAGAGATGCCTCAGGATTGTAAGCCAGGCTGACTTCACCAGGGTGCCTCAGACAGAGGTAGGCATTGTCCCTCTACCTGCCTCCTAAAAATCCTGGCAGCTGCCAACTTCCAAAACCCAATAAAAAGTGCAGGAATGCGGGTTTAGTGCCAGCTAACTCCAAGCCTCAAGGGATAGGGGACAGGCTGGTCCTTCTCATCCCCCTGTCCTCATGGGACCCTGTAGGTCATGCCCAAAAATTGCCTCTGGCTGCTACTTAAGCTTCTCGGTGGTCATGAAAAGAATCTCCGAGGGGCTGGAGCAGTAGCACAGCAGGTAGGGCGTTTGCCCTGCACATGGCCAACCCGGGTTCGATTCCCAGCATCCCGTATGGTCCCCCGAGCACCGCCAGGAGCAATTCCTTAGTGCATGAGCCAAGAGTAACCCCTGTACAATGCTGGGTGAGACCCAAAAAGCACACACACACACGCACACGCACACACACACAAAAGAACCTCTGAACTGAGTTCGCTGCGGAGATATCTCCAGACCCCAATTATCTGGAATTTTGGAGTTCCAGGGGCATGTGGCCACTCTTGCGGCCACGTGACATCTTTATGCTGTTCATAACAAGCAATACAAAAGAGAGTATGGGGGAGATTGCCATAGAGGCATGGGGAGGGGTGAGATTGGGGAGGATAGTGGGGTTCCTGATGGTGGAAGATGTGCACTGGTGGAGGGTTGTGTGATGGATCATTGTATGACTGAAACGCAAGAAAGCTTTGTAACTGTATCTCATGGTGATTAAAATAATTATAATAATAAAATAATAAAATTAACTTTCTGAATAAAAAAGTAATATGGAGTTCATATCCAATTCAATCACCTTAAATCAATGGCTTGAATAAATAGCAGTACTCCTACATTAAAAAATATATATACTTTAAAGATCTACAGGATCATGTGATCAAATTATAAAATGATGAAAGAAAACAAGATACGAAAGACCCAATGTAGTAAAGGTGTAATTACCCCAAATACAGGTTTATCGTAGAGGTTTTCAAAATCACTCTGTCACCTACTCTATGCCATGTGGCAAAATTTACCTCTTTTCAGCAAAGTCCCCCACTTGTACAAAAGAGGATTTACTATGGCCTACCTGGATCATTCCAGTACCCCCAGAGGGCTGGTTACAGTCCTCTTTGGGAAATGCTAGTTTAATTATTTCCTATCAGAACTTAATGACTTAGTGAAAGGAAATGATAAAATTAGTACAAACCAGTAACATGTGTAATGATCGCAGATTTTTGCTGACGTTAAAATGCTTCTGCAGTACTTCCTTCACACTTCCATCTTCTGACAGACCCTAAAGAAAAACAGGATTAAAACCTAAATATAATCTTTTATCTCATTAGCTCATGTACCTTATTAACTTTATCTGATATTAAATAGGTATTGGTCTTGCAGAACATCAAATAAAATTCAAAATTCCAATCTAATTTTCTTCTCTGAATACAGTGATATGAAGACAAGGAGAATTAAGACATTTATAAAACATATTTGATGCAGAGTATCTGATAAGGAGTAAAGCAGAAGAGTCTGAACGGGTTAGTGGATAGGTGGGGAGGTGGAGAAGATATTATAGGGGACAATATTCAGGAAGAATAAAGAGTTAAATGAACTTTCATGTACATAGTTCAACAAGACTACCACAAAGGCATAGACAACAAAAACAAAAGGGGCTACATCAAATTTAAAAGCTTCTGCACAGCAAAAGAAAAGCTAAAATAAAAAGACAACTTACCAAATGGGAAAAATTCTATGTGCATAGTAAAATACATATAAGGAACTAATATGCAGGATCTACAAAGCACTCATAAAGCTAAACAACAACAAAAACCCAACAACCCCATCCAAAAATGGTGAAAGGAGATAAACAAATGTCCTCAAAGAAGACATAAGGCCAACAGAAAAAAGTACTCATTGTCACTTGTTAGGGAAATGCAAATCAAAACAATGAAATCATCTCACACTAAAGAGAATGACATGTATCAAAATGTCTGGAAACAGCCAATGTAAGTAGGGCTGCACTAAGAAAAAACACTCTTCCACTTTTGATAGAAATACCATCTAGTACAATCTCTCTGGAAAGCAACATGGAGATCTCATTAAAAAGCAGAAGTGGTGGGGTTATGGTGCCGGCAGCAGGTCAGTCTGTACCTGTGAGTTGAGTGCATTAGCAGCCTGATGGTGCCTTCAGACTTCCAGATACCCCAAAGTTGCTGCTGTGCCTTTGGCCAGACCCCAAAAACTTGGGGCAAAGTTTACCAAGAAGGTAAATAGCCAAAAGTTGGGTATGTGGGAGACACACCCACAAACCACCTCCAGCTCACCTATATAATTGGAGGCATGGCCTCTCTGGTTCCTGACTGAACTGCTTAATGTCCATGATCCCAGAGACTCAGAAACAAATCTCGAAACCCAGCAGAAATGCGTCCGGTCCCTGCAGTAGGTTACTGGTGCTGGGCCAACCCAGGTGGGAATAGGTTTTATGCCTTGGTCTGTTCCCACTGGCGGCCCAGTGGCCGCCATCCTCCAGAGGCCACTGGACAGTCAGGTTTGGGCCCACAGCGACAAAATACGCAGGGCCTCACAGGATGGGGGTGGAGCTGGTCCTGTCCTCCCCATGCCAACGAGACCCCAAGTCATCGCCCACAAATGGCCTCTCTGGCTCCTGATCAAGCTGTTTAATGGCCATGATCCCAGAGACTCAGAAACAAATCTCGAAACCCAGTGGCATTTGGCACAAATCTCTCCAGATTTAAGTGTTAAATTTTCGGAATTTCCAAATCGTGCAGCCACCACTGCAGCCACAGGACATCATGTGTTATTCATAACCAGCAATAGAAAACAAATTGTTTACTATTGCCTTTTCAGCAGATCTGAGTGTTGGGGTAAAATCTCAAATAATAATGGTGGGTCTGATGTCAAAATATTGAATGCAATCAAAGTAGAGAGAGAATGTGGAAATCATCTGCCCCACAGGTAGGGGGAGGGTGTGGGATTGGGATATACTGGGGTTGTTGGGGGTGGAGAATGGGCACTGGTGAAGGTATGGGTGTTTCATTGTATGACCGAGACTTGGACCCGAAAGCTTTGTAACTGCTCTCACGGTGATTCAATAAATAAAATTATAAAAAATGAAAAAATAAAGGAAGTGGCACTCGCATTTAAACCAGTAATACCAATTCACGAATATCTACTTCAAAAACACAAAAACATCAATTTTTAATGATATATGTATATGGATAGTCACTGCAGCATTTAGTACAACAGCCGAGACATGAAAACAACCCAAATGCCCAACCACAGAAGTTGTGGTATATAGAGTTGTGGTACACAGTGGAATAGGATGCAGATCTAAGAAATGACAAAACATGCAATTTGACATGACATGGATGGAACTGAAGGTTATCACAGTGAAGTTACTCAGGAAGAAAAGGACAATGATTTCTATCATATGTGTGATTTAACGATACCCAGTGGAGGAGCAAAAAATGGAAAAGGGCAGCAGAACTGGAGTGCTGAGCCACAGACCTGAATTTGTAGGGAAGTGGTAGGAGGAGGTCTTGAACCGTGCAAGAATCTTTAGATGGATGGGAATAGGTACTTTGATGCAAGTACAGTGCTGTATGATATATAACATATGCATAAAACCATCAATAGTATTTTAAGTCATAATCACTTAATAATGATAAAGGGGTTTAAAGAACCAATGGCTTTGGAAATTTTGGTCTCAACAGGACCCTTTGAAAAAGTAGTACTATCTAAAACAGCCAAGGAAAGGGTAAAATACACAACACTGAAGGAAATAGTACACAAAAGCAAGTAAACTTCCAAAATAATTTGCAAGGAATAAGGGCTTATTTTTCTTAAAAAAAAAAAAAAACAGAAACAAAAAGAGGATAGGTGAAGACCGAGTACAGGAGTTAAGGCCTTGCCTTGTACTCTACTGTCTATTATTTGATCCCTGGCACTGCTTATGGTGCATCCAGCACTACCAGGAATGATCCCTGAACAAAGAACCAGGAGTAAGCCCTGAACACTGCTGAGTATGGCCCAAAACCAACATGCCTCCTCCCCCCCCCCCCGCCTTCTGCACACCCCCGCAAATACAACAGGGCTGTGGGGAGGTAGCGCAAAGGTGTAGAGTACATTGTAGCCTTACACATGAAAGGCCCTGAGTCTGATCCCTGTTCCATGCTACTCTCCTTCCCTAATGTTATGAGTTGTGGTCCTAGAGGCCCTCAGCATCACAGGGTTCAAGCAACATAGCATCACTAGGCCTCTGAACACTGCTGCAAAGCCTACTATAAAATAGACAAGTACAAAACCCCAAAGCATTTATTTTCTGGAGTTAAAACTGTAGATCTCTTACTTTTTCCAATGTAAGATCCTGACTAGGAATAAGATCCAATTTAATGGAGTGAAATTTTATGCTCTTAGTTAGTTATCTACCCCCACCCCCTTTCACAGAGATAGAAGGGAAGGTTAATGTTATCTCAGGACTCATTCTGTTTAGGGCTAGCTTAGTTCCTGTTAGACCTTTTCACCTTCTGTTTACTAAGCAGGGAAGGTGAAAAGGTAAATCTTCCTTGAATTTACATACAGTATTTGGGGGAAATCTCCATTAAAGAGAATTAGGGTTTTTAAAATGCAGGGATTTCTCCTATACTACCACGTTGAAATGGGATCTATTCTCTTTCTTCTTTTAACTTACCAAGGAGATGGCCAAAACAAACATTCAAGTTAAGAAAGGTGGCTAAGTTCATCCTACTGTGAAGACATTTCTTGGATGATACTCAATAGAGGTCATTTTTAGGCCCTCAAGATCTTTCAAATGGGTCATCAGTGAAAATCATATAAATGGGGGGCCATAGAAACAGACGAGGGGGCTAACTGGTATGAAGCAAGGTCAGAAGGGGCCACAATAAGAAAATGGCTGGGACACACTGATTTACATTACTGCTTTGGAATTAGAAAAAATAGTCAGCACTGAGAAAAAGGATAGTTCCCTTAATGAAATCTCTCCCTACTCCAGGGCAGGGCTTCTGGCCATGGTGCTGACACAGTTTTTCTGAGGGAATAACTATTAGCATATTAACGGAAGCTGCAAAATGTTGATTAGGTCACAAGACAATATTAGAGTCACAAACTCCAGTGATATTAGTCTTAATCTTTTACAAAACACTGCAAATTGTCAAAAAAAAATATATATATATATAAGATAATGCTCTCCCAGTCCATTCCAACTGCTTTTAAATTCAAATATGCAAAGAACAACCCAGGACCAGCATTTCCCAGCACATGGTTATCATTTCCTATGCCATCCAGAATTATGCTTCACCAGTAATGTCCCCATCATATACTTCTTTTATAACCCAGTCTAGATATTCAGAATGAACACATCTGGAAACAAGAGAAAAAATGAGTCATTCAATACAACCTGAAACTGAGTTAACACTGTCATCTCAGAAAAACAAACGAGCAGTAACAAAAATAATAAAAGCTGCAGGAAAGCACAGATATTTGAATATTATGAAAGATGCAATCTCTAAAGAGACAGAAAATATACTACTATAGTATCAGGAGATGCAAAAGGTGAAAGCCCAAGAAGCCCTGAAAAGTGAATCCACAGGCCAGAATATCCAGAAGCTCTGATCAGCTCCAGAACTAATAAAAGAAAGGACAGTGTGACTGAATAGATACAGCATCAAAGAAAATTTTTTGAGTTGAAAAATAATCCGAGTCACCAATATAATTTGGGGAAAAGGGTCAGATTCACACCTAGTTAATTGTGCCTGCCATTTCCACTCCTTGCACAGTATCTGAATTTTAAAGATGAAGTTAGCTAGTTTTCATATAATTCTATATACTAAATAAGAAAAAAAATGAATTATCAAAGTGGCAAAGGTAAAATAAAAGATAACACGTAATTAAGTCCTAGATGGAAAATGTTTAGTGTGCATATAAGGTCTGAAATACTTTACGAATTATTGGTAATAGTCAAGTAAAATGAAAGAAATGGGCATAGATAGGAACGAAATTCCCATTTTTAACATGTATTCTTTTATACTGATTAATTACTTGGTTGTTCTTTTGTGGGAAACCTCATTTAGTGAAAATGCCATACTATGGCCCTCATTTTAGCCTCTACTTTTAAAAAGGAGACATCTTTCTTTTGCTAATTTGTCTAATGTTGTTTTGATTACCGGCTCAGTCTGGGAAGACCAGAAGGAATTTGGGGATTTCCCCCTGCTTCTCGTAGTTGGAATTAAGAAAACATGCAGTACAGTCAGCACTTAGATATTACTCAGCTAATATAACAATTTGTTTGTTAGGCCATCAACTTATGGGCAGGTAAATTTATAAAATCTATAAAAAAACAAACACTGTCCTCCCGTTCATCAATTGGCTCGAGCAGGCCCAGTAATGTCTCCACTGTGAGACTTGTTGTTACTGTGTTTGGCATATTGAATACATCACGGGTAGCTTGCCAGGCTTTGCTGTGCGGGCGAGATACTCTCAGTAGCTTGCAAGGCTCTCCGAGAGGGGTGGAGGAATCGAACCTGGCTCGGCCGGGCTGGCTGCGAGCAAGGCAAATGCCCTACTGCTTTGCTATCGCTGCAGCCCACAAAATGTATAAAGTTTAGTAAATCTTTAAAACATACACTTTGGGCTGGAGCACTGGCACAAGTGGGTAGGGCGTTTGCCTTGCACGCTGCCGACGTGGGTTCAATTTCTCTGTCCCTCTCGGAAAGCCCGGCAAGCTACCGAGAGTATCCCGCCAGAAAGCCTTGCAAGCTACCCATGGGATATTCAATATGCCAAAAACAGTAACAAGTCTCACAACAGAGATGTTATTGGTGCCTGCTAGAGTGATTTGATGAACAACGGGAGGACAGTGCTACAGGGCTACATATACTTTGGCATCAAGGATCCTCTAGGCTTCAGATCCTAAATAATGAGATTTGCCAATATAAATTAATACAGAGAGAGGTGTCACAATTTTCATACTGCCTCTTGTTTTTTGTCATTTGTTTATTTTTTTTTAGATTTAGGATTGGTGGTGATGGGGGGGGGGGATTGTCACTTCCAGTGGTGTTGGGGATCAACCCCTGGACTTCTAGACTCAAAGCATGCTCTGAGCCCACTGAGTTAGCTCTCTGGCCTCTTTATTACTTCTTAATAGACTTAATGAGAAAAAAAGTTATTTATAAGATTTGAAAAAAGAAAAATTAACATTAGAGATTGTTATGAATAGATTTAAAAAGCAAAATTTTATAAAGCAATTGATTGGAAAAGGAAAAAATCCTTATGCTAGATTTAAAAAGCAAAATTTTATAAAGCAATTGATTGGAGAAGGAAAAAATCCAGGAGCTTGGCAAGGCCCTGGGTTAGAGCCATGACACCCGCTAATCTCCACCTTAGGTATAGTCATCAACTTATAGGCAGGTAAATTTAGAATCCTTAGGTGTAGCCTTTGTGGACAGTCAGCATTGCTGGGTTGGGCCCAAATACCACATAATGCACGTCCCTTCACACCAAAAAATAAATGTGATTTTATGAGACATTTGAAATTATATATAACATTTGAAATTCTGTGCTCCTTTACAAATTTGTAAATTTTAACAGCTTTCAAATGCAGCAAGATACTATTATGCTATCATTAATACCCATTTTCCGTGTTACCTGTACATGCTCATTCCACTTCTCTGCAAAAAGTTTGTCTGGAAATTCTACAGGTAGAGATAACTGTTCTTTAAATATTTTAAGATACTGTGGAAAACCAAATGAATTCATGATGTGTATCTGCCGGTGAGAAAATCGTGACTTCACTCTCTTTTCTAAGAGTTCCAAAATATCCTTAAAAACAAAAGAAATTCCCTATTAAGATGTGTGTTTAAAAAAAGACAACACAGCATTAGATTTAAGTATCTGGCCATCGTCTATGACTAGCAATGCTTATAATCCTATGAGATAAAATTAAGCATTAAAAATATGCAAGTGTTTAAAATTTAAAATTACAGTCTTTAAAATTTATTTAAAAATGAAAATTAAAAATCTCCCAAAGATTACAGCAGTAAAGGTGAAGTGTGGTCTGGAAATAAACCAACACTAAGACTTTATTTTATGCAAGTTACTTCAGTAATCTCCTACTAAAACCTTTTTTTGGTGATGCCATGCCTATCAGGTTATTCTCAATCTTTAACATTCTAAAATATGGATTAGTAAAAAAACGATAACTGTTACTAGTTGTATGCCACAGCAATGAAGAACTTAATAAGGATTTTTACAATTCTGTGTAGAATTCAGATTAAGCAAAAACTAAGATAATAAAAGCAGTGAAATAAATTACATGATATTTAACCATCTTCACTGTTGTATGTAACAACAGCTGAACCAGCAGAATGTATGATGGAGAAATTTCAGTTCATGGAACTACCCACAATTTTCTTGAAGGGGACTATACCAGGTAGTGCTCAGGGCTTATTCAAGGTTCTGGGCTCAGGGATCAGTCCTGGTAGGCTCAGGAGACCATATAGGATGCCAGAGATACAATCCTGGTTGGCTGCATGCTAGGCAAGAACCCTAGTGCTGTACTATTGCTCTGGCCTCCACTATCCACAAGTCTAAGCTAAAATTATACTTAAATTCTAATTCCTCTTCCAACTGTAGAAGAGAAAATGAACAGGAACACATTATGACATTAGTTTGTTATTTTGTGTTCTGACTTTTTTTTTTAAGCATTACTATTTTAGAACACTTGTATTTGCATTTTTTGAAATCAAAACAAGAGATTAAAAATCAGAGTACTCTCAATAGTAAAAAAAAGTTTTTAAAAAAAGTGGTTAGCAAAGCTTAAATTACAGACATTTAAGATTTTTCTTGAAGGCAAACAAGAAGCTGTTGGGCTGGGACTGTGGCTATGTGGAAGAGCAGTTGCCTTCCATGTGTGAGGGTCTGGGTTGGATTCTCAGGGTTGCACTGTCCAAGCACCACCAGGATCAACCCTGAGTACAAAGCTGGGAGCAGACCCTTGCAAAGCTGGGTGCACTCTGCACCCCCCTCCCTCCAAAAAACGAAAAACAAAAAGATTCATGATATGATGATGGTGATAATATAGAGGAAAGAATTCAAGTAATCAAAGGTAGAAAAAAATTAGGAAGGAAGATGGAAGACTAGTTGGGGTGAGAGGAAAGGGAAAGGGTAATACCAAAAGGTTTGAGAAAAGTATAGTACCAACAAAGAGAAGACAGTTATGTCGAGAAATATTATACATTATCTTCTATTAAGTACAGTTCTTTATCATCAATCTATATCGCAGAAACAATGCTCTCTACAAGCCTTGGGTATGGAAAAAAGAGATGGAAATAAAAGATATTAGTGGAAGGCAGTAAACAAAAATTAACAATGTGAAGAAGGATTTCTACATTTTCTGGCAAGTACTTATTCCAATTTGCTCTTTTTTCCTATAAACATGGGCACACAGATATTATACACCAAAGAACAGGACAGTTGGGTAATTACACACAAATAGCAGAAAAGGCCTCTAGTAACAATGATAAGGAGCAATTGATACTTTTTTTTTGATTCTTCAATAGGACCATAATATTTGCCCGTTACTTATATACAAAGGAAGACATTTTGGCTGTAAGGAAGGTACTTTCTCAACCCGTACGCTAAAACTGCTTTTGTCAAGGAGTGCTTCCTTTAAAATGGAAAAAGAGAGAACTGCAGGCAAAGAGAGAAAATGAATGGCCCTGATATTAACCTAAACTAGAGAAGAGAAGAGGAGGCTACAGCTTTAGATGCATGCCACTCACTGTATGAAAAAAAAAGTGTTATACTTGAAGACCAGTTTTACCTAAATTCAGAAAGTTCATACTCTTGGGAGTTAAGAAGGATAAGTACAAAAAAGGCTGCAATAGCTATTCAAAGTAAAAAGGTCCAACATTCATATAGTTGTCACATGTATGTGACAAGAAGACCATAGTCAAGTCATTAGAAAATTCCCCCAAGATGGGGCTGGAGAGATAGTAAAGTGAGAAGGGCGTCTGCCTTGCATGTAGGTGACCCAGGTTTGATACCCCGCATCCTATATGGTCTCCCGAGTACCACCAGGAGTGATCCCTGAGTGCAGAGCAAGAAGTTATTTCTGGGGCTGGAGTGACAGCACAGTGGGTAGGGCGTTTGCCTTGCACGTAGCTGACTCGAGTTCAATTCCCAGCATTTCATAACCATATTTCATAACCCTGAGCACCACTAGGGGATATTCCTGAGTGCAGAGCCAGGATTATGGTAACCTGAAAGAACAAATTCTGTCCATTTTAGGAGACATGATCTTAACAAGTTGAGATAGGTGATTTGTGCATTAAAATTATAGAGTTTTAAATGTAAAAGCAAAAAAAAAAATTAGTGATGTTTTTGGGGCTGGAACAATAGCACAACGGGCAGGGTGTTTGCCTTGTGCGCGGCCGACCCGGGTTCGATTCCCAGCATCCCATATGGTCCCCTGATCACTCAGGGGTAATTCCTGAGTGCAGAACCAGGAGCAACCCCTGTGAATCACCGGGTGTGACCCCAAAAAAGAAAAAATTAAAAAAAATAGTGATTTTATGAAATAGATTATTTAACTATATTTTCTAATTGTATATTTTAGCATAACTTAGGGCTGGGGTGACAGCACAATGGTAGGGCATTTGCCTTGCACACAGCCAGCCCCACTGAGCCGGGTTTGATTCCTCTGCCTCTCTCGGAGAGCTTGGCAAGCTACCGAGAGTATCTTGCCCGCACGGCAAAGCCTGGCAAGCCACTCGTGACGTATTCAATATGCCAAACACAGTAACAACAAAGTCTCACAATGGAGACATTACTGGGCCTGCTCGAGCAAATATATGAACAACGGGAGGACAGTGCTACATGTAGTGCTACAGCATAACCTGACTTCGTATTTTAAAAATCCTGATACCACTAGAGGGAGGAGGGAGGCATTAATTTATAAGAATGTGTGATATTTGTTTTTGTTTTCTTCGATCTGAGGTCAATAGTAGTATAAATGGCATATGGCATATCACAATTGTAAATATCTAATATAATGGCCTCATAATGGCCTCATAATGACTATAAAAGTAATTAGTTTTTAACTTTCTAAATATTCTAATCATTTTAAAAACAGACTTACCAATCTACATGTAAGACCAATCACTGCTATTGGAGTCTGTGCAGACTGAGAAACATCAAAAAGATTATAGAGGAGTGTCTGATTTTTATGATGAGCAAAAAGATCAAATTCATCTAATACAAAGATCACTGGGCAACTAGTAGTTCGTTTACCTAAGGTAAGATGAAAAGAGTCTTAATAAGCAATTAAATTAAAACAACCTTTCTAAATTTCAAAAAAAAATTACTGCTTTTCATTTTTTAAAATTTAATTCAGCACCCAATGATAACCTACTTTAGGAAGGACACTTATTGAAGTTGTACATATATTTATCCAACAGCAAAGAAATTCTTCATGAGACAAAGAGAATATTGTTTTTAAGAAGTCCACTATCTACTATATCCAGAACTTTACTGATGAAAAATTAGGAAATTTTATTCTTCTGACGTCACCAGAAAATTGACGAAGTTCTTTTAATCTCATCATAGGCAAAAATACTTTGGAATTAAATATATGAGAAACCAATAACAAGTCAAACAAATCTAATTAATAAAACTCTTGCTTCAAGAGAATTATTTTATTAGTAGAAATGCAAAGTATACCTCCCACATAAGTATTTTTATTAAAAACAGCTAGACAAGGAAGGTCAGCCAAATTACTTTTAATCATTCTAAACACAAGTTTTGACCTACAACAACAGGGTAAGTTCAACATGGGTCTGTATTCATTTTCTCACCATGATAATCAAAAATACTTTACCAGACAAACTTCTAGTATATGATATCAAGCTTCAGGGGTGAGGGCAGGGGTTAAGATTTCAGGCTTCAGGTTTGCATGAATAATTTTAAAGAAAATCCGGTGAACTTGCTCTAATAGTTAATGTAACGTAGCAAGTTCACCGGAAACACTAACCAAATTGGCATAAAACCACATGAAAGAGACCCAAAGGGCTGGGTGACAGTTCAGTGATCAGCAATATATGCCATCCATGTCAAAGGATACAAGCCTGACTCCCAGGACTGCATGCCTTAAGCCACAATATACAGATACGGATACAGCAGATACAGCCCTCTTACTTCCAAGCACCCAACCACTGGGTCCCAGCACAAAATGGTCCTGCCTGGCAGGCCAATTATTGTAGCTCCAGAGCTCCCTAAACACTGCCTAGGAGATCACTGCCCCCCAGTAAAATAAGCGTACATAATAGATTATGTAGTATTTGATTAAAAATAAAAAGCATTCTCTATCACTGGGAAAAAATGGTTTGCCAAGATTATTTTCTGTAATTCACATCAAAATAAATTCTACTCATTGTCTAAATTGTAACATATATGAAATGAAAACATGAAAGAATGTCTTTAGACTCTGAAGGAGAAAAAAACATATGATTATGTGAAAAATTTACAACTTCCATTCAACAGAAAGAAAAAGTCCAATCCAAATGTAAATGAAAAGTGTAAGAATTCTCATAAAACCTGGAACTGGAGTGATAGCACAATGGGCAGGGAACTTGCCTGGCACATGGCTGATGGAGTTCAACATTATATGGTCCCCCAAGCCCTCCCGGATTGATCCCCGAGAGCACAGCCAGTTGTGACCCCCAAATAAACAAATAAAAAATTCCCACAAATAAGTATGATATTAATAGAATAAAACCAACAAAATAAAGAATACAACAGAAACACACAAATCACTGTCACTGTCACTGTCCTCCCGTTGTTCACTGATTTGCTTGAGCGGGCCCAGTAACATCTCCATCCTGAGACTTGTTGTTACTGTGTTTGGCACATTGAATATGACACAGGTAGCTTGCCAGGCTTTGCCGTGCGGGCGAGATACTCTCGGTAGCTTGCCGGGTCCTCCAAGAGGGGCAAAGGAATCGAACTCGGGTCGGCCATGCTGGCTGCGTGCAAGGCAAATGCCCTACCCGCTGTGTTATAGCTCCAGCCCACAAATCAGTATTAGTGGCAAGAATATGTAATGATAAACATTATAACTATGAAAATTATACAAATCAAACTAAAATAATTTTTTTCTATTTGACAGGCAAACTAGTAACTTGTAAATATAGCACACTGGTGAAATGCCTACCTGGCATATTTGAGAATTTGAGTTCAATGAACAACATCATTAAAAAATACTGTTTACTAATTTACAGAGAAAAAAGTTCCCATAAATTAGAAAGGGAACCTTCTAAAGCTATGTATACATTTTTAAGTGAGGTACCTTTTAATTAAGAATTTTTACTGAAATTTATCTTGAGATAGTAAGAGAATGATCATCTAAGCATTTCTTCTGAATTAAGAAAAGTTAGAATAAAATACCACAAATGATACTAGTAGTTTCTAATATTTAATTATAATTAAGTTACAGGACTGGAGCGATAGCACAGCGGGTAGGGCGTTTGCCTTACAAGCGGCCAACATGGCCGACCCGAGTTCGATTCCTCCGCCCCTCTCGGAGAGCCCGGCAAGCTACCGAGAGTATTCGATATGCCAGACACAGTAACAACAAAGTCTCCAATGGAGACGTTACTGGGCCCGCTCGAGCAAATCGACGATCAACGGGAGGGCCTTTACCTTTAATTAAGTTACATATTTAAAATACATAAGAATCATAAAAATGATTATAAAATTTAAAAACTTACTAACAATATGCTAACTTAAAAACCTACTACTAACAAGATGCTAACAAGGTACTGTTAGTTAATGTGAACAGACTTCATGACATTATGGAAGATTATTTTATTTGAATGGTACCTCTAATAATATGTTATATGGTATGGTATCTGTAATGATATTGTATCTCTAATCATAAAGGTGAATAAATAAAAATTCAATGAAAAATGATAGATCACTATTATAGTAGTTGAATTACAGTAATTATTTTACATTTTTTAAAATATTTCTGTATTTGTTTTAAGAGAATGTATAACCATTATAAGAGAATTAAGTATATTTTGGTAGTGCTAAATATGCTGTATTTACCTTTTTTTAAAGCTTCAAGGAGAAATGAAAGGTTTTCAGCAAAGCTTCCCTGTATAACAAAAAGATAACAAGACATTCATGAAATAAAGAATGAAGGAGTAGGCCCTTAGATATATGCATTATCATGTCATCTATTTTTTTCCTAGAAAGCATGAATTGCTGGCTAGATTCTAAGCTGAATTGCATTTTACATCTTCAAAGACATGAGGCTCTTACAAGATTCAAATTAATTTTATTGCTAAAACAAATGAAAATAGTTGGGTGCAGAAGTTGGGGGTTCACAACCAGTGATGCTTGGTGTAACTCCTGGCAGTGCTTGGGGGACCCATACGTGGTGCCAGGATCAAACTAAGTGGCATCAACTCATCTGAGTACCTTATAATCCCCATAATATTTTTCCAGCCCTTTAAAACATTTCTAATTAGAATCTTTCAAGTAACAAGAGTCTACTGTCCTGAAATTTACAAAATATAACATGAAAGTATGGGAAAAGTTTTGGAAAACATTTTTTTGATAGCAAGAGTTAACTGAGAATTATACATTATGACCCAATAATTAAGTATGCTTAATTCCACTTTTTCTTTAGAATAACTCTATGAAGCATAATAAAAGTATGCTTATAACAGATAAACTCAGAAATTAAGATAAAACCATATTGATTATCAGATAGTCAAATAGTTACTAAGACAAAACAAATTCACCCTTTTTTGCTTCTGTATTTTCTACTACTCACATGCTGCCCAAGTTTTATAGATTAGAAATGGATGGTGAGTATTTAAATTTTTAAAGTATATCAATTTAGGAGACCAGAGAGATGATACAGGGTTAAGGCACTTATTGTGAGCATGGCCAACCCTGGTTGAATCTGTAGAACTACATACAGTTCCCTTCTGATCCCCCAATCACTGCCAGGAGTAATTCCTGGGTACATAGGGTAGAAAAAGCCCTGAGAAATACTGGGTGAGGTCCAAACACTTAAAAGTAAAATAATCTCTAAAAATAGATAATCAGATTATTTATATTGCAGGTAATACCTACAGAAACCCAGAACAGTCTTAGCTGTTTTATATAACAAGCATAATATTCTTAATATACAAATTTGATGAATAACTACATTCTAATACGATAACATTTCAATGACAAGAAACTTACATTTTAAGTTTTAGTTAAAACATAATTTAATCAGGAATCTATAAACCCTTAATCATTCAAAATTTAAATATATGTACACAGTCTTGATTTAAAAAAAAAAGGGACATGATACTCACAAAAACTTTATCTTCAACTACATTTTCCAGGTTTAACTGCCTTGTAATTTCCTTTAAGGCAATTTTATCATTGATCTGTAGCAATCCTGAAATAAAGTCCATTTAAAGATGTTTAGTTAAAATTAAATACACATTTCATACAGTACACTTTATTTTCCAGTCAAGTAAATTTTCTAATGCTTTTAAAATGACCTAAAAATATCAATTATTATACAGTATTTACTTTTTAAAATTTGGCAGTGAAAATGTTTGATAGTCTCAAAGCATTTAATAGATAAGAACACAGAAACCTTAAACCTCTAGCTATACTATTATTTTTACCTTCTAGAAGCAAGTGATGTGATGACTAATTATTACTGATAGATCTAGTTGTTACTTAAACTAGTTATAGTACACATTAAATAAACAAAGTTGTTAAACATGGATCCAGTAATCGACTTACAACTGAATTAATTTCATTATATAAAAGCTAACAAGGCAAATTATATGATTTTCACTGGCAAAGTAACATACTTACCATTTAGGTGAACTTGTAATACATTTTCCCTCACTTCTTCTACTTCCATTAGTTCTTTCAAAGCGTGGTTTACTAACTAAATAATAAAAGTTAAAAAAAATTTACCCTAGGTAAAATCTTATTTCAAAAGTATGATTAACAGAAATAATATAAAGACATCAGCATAAGAATTAAACAAAGCTGCAGATTCATTACAGATTAAAAAAAAAAGTTTAACTATAACATCTAATGTCTCGACTTTTCTCTAGATACCTGGGTCAGAATTGATGCACATTCCTCAATCTTTCACCCAAACATCTGGGGAGTATGTAGAAACAATCCGCAAGATTACAAAGAAATGTTTTCTACAAGCCACACTAAACTGTGGTTGCTTTAAGAACTTCATTTTCTTAAATTTATTATAGGTTATTTAACATTTTCTCTATCACCAAAAATTAACTGAAAAATATTAAATACAATGCTGAATGATTTCCAATTTCTAGCCCCAATTTTTGTTTTGTTTTTTTGGGGGTGGGGAAGAGAGAGAGATGCCAAGGATCAAGCCCTGGGCTTCATAAATATGTGGCATTCACTGAGCAATAGTTCGTTTCAATTTCTATGAAATACTGTGAGAAATATTTTACAAGTTTGCATGAAATAAAAACTGAAAAGATAAGAAATACAACTTAGGCTAAATTGAGTAAGAGACGTTTGCTGTCAGTTGTCATAAAGTCCTTATTAAAAAAAACTTAAGAGCTTATAGCAAAAATTACCATTGATAAATGTTAATAATTATTGCTAAATATTCTTTATGATTATACTGAAAAATGATATGTAATCATAAATTATTTAATTATAAATTTTCACATTTTTGTAATTATAGGTTTTCATACCAACTAACATTGTTTTTTTGATTTTTGACAAGTTTTTGCATAGTAAATATCACATACATCTTTACTAACAATTAACATGCTATAATTTTTCTTATTTTGGGGGAGAAGGGGCCCTCACCAGTAATAACTGGGACTTGGGGGTCATTCCCAGAGATACTTGGTACCACAAGCCTGATAAATTTTAGTGCTTGCGCCTGGCAATTTGGTGCTTACCAGTGCTCAAGGCTAGCTACTACCTAGCTCAGGAGGCAATGAGTTGACAGGGATAAAACTTGGGGTCTTCTGCCCAGAGGGGAAAGGGTGTTGCTCTCTTCCGCCCTCCTCCCTCTGGAAAGAAAGATGGCGGCCACATGGGAGCCTTGTGGACAGCAGGTATGAGCCGGGGGTGTGGGGGCGACTAAAACCTCAGGGGTCGGGGGGCGTTCCGGTCCGTCCTTCACGCCCTACCGAGGTCACCAGTCGCCCCCCGCGAGCGGCTCTCCAGCACAGCCACGGCCCCAGAAGCACAAGGACTTAATGCAGAACCCAGCAGCTTGGAGCAGAAAAGTGAAAGGACTATGCGTTGATCCAGGCCATCAAGTCTGCCGGAGGGGAAAGGGTGTTGCCCCATTCGCCCTCTCCTCTCTGGAAAGAAAGATGGCGGCCACATGGGAGCCTTGCGGACAGCAGGTATGAGCCGGGAGTGTGGGGGCGACTAAAACCTCAGGGGAAGGGGGGCGTTTCGGTCCGTTCTTCACGCCCTACCGAGGTCACCAGTTGCCCCCAGTGAGCGGCTCTCCAGCACGGCCACGGCCCCAGAAGCACAAGGACTTAATGCAGAACCCAGCAGCTTGGAGCAGAAAAGTGAACGGACTATGCGTTGATCCAGCCCATCAAGTCTGCCGGAGGGGAAAGGGTGTTGCCCCATTCGCCCTCTCCTCTCTGGAAAGAAAGATGGCGGCCACATGGGAGCCTTGTGGACAGCAGGTATGAGCCGGGAGTGTGGGGGCGACTAAAACCTCATGGGAAGGGGGGCGTTTCGGTCCGTCCTTCACGCCCTACCGAGGCCACCAGTTGCCCCCACGAGTGGCTCTCCAGCACGGCCACGACTCCAGAACACAGAAACCAATTTCTTAACTATCTGACTTTCAGTAGAAATACTTCCAGGGTCAATAGGTAAAATAGCAGAAATCCAAAACCAACATTTAATTCTTGAACCCAGCTGTAGAAAGCAAATCACTTCACAATGCTTTTTCAGCATGTCTGATTTTGGGGGGGGGGGGGTTAAACTCTAAATAATAGTGGTGAATCTTTTATTGAAACAATGAATCTAATCAAAGCAGATGGAGTGTTAACTAGAATTCATCTGCCTCACAGGGACGGGGAGGGGTGGGGGGTGGGGTTTTATTGGAGTTCTTCATGGTAAAAAATAAGTATTGGTAAAGGGAAATGTGTTTGATATTTGCATGACTGAGACATAAACTTGAAAGCTTTGTAACCTTTCCCACAGTAATTCAATAAATAAATAAATAAATTTAAAAAACAAAAAAACAAAACAAAACAAAAAACTTGGGGTCTTCACAGCACCCAAGAGGAGAGAGAGAACAAGGGGGAATGCCCTGCCACAGAGGCAGGGTGGGACGGGGGGGGGGGGGGGAAATGGGAGATGGGGGGGAATACTGGGATCAGTGGTGGTAGAGAATGGGCACTGGTAGAGGGGTGGGTATTCATTCAATCATTGTATAATTGTAATCCCATCAACAGCCAAGACTCAGAGACTATAAAAACCAGCTCCCGGCCGCACGACATCTTATTATCTCATTCCTACTTTGGACAAACTGGGAGGCTACCGAATGTAGCACACGGCAGAGTCTGGCCAACTCCCCATGGCGTACCCAATATGCCAAATACCAGTAACAATGATGGGTCTCATTCTCCTAAAGAGCCTTGAATATAATCTCAGGGCTAGGATGAAGGAGACGTTACTGGGGTCTGCTCGAGGCAATTGACGAATAACAGGATGGTCGTGATTCGTGATTGTATAATTGAAACCCAAGCACAAAAATTTGTAAATCTACAACTGTAACTCATGGTGTTTCACTAATAAAAATCTAAAAAAAAATGAAAAAAACCTTGGGGTCTTAACATGCAAGGAATGTACCCCAATTCTGAGATTTCCCTAGTTAAAATCTTTATACTGGCTTTTAAAAATCTTTTATTTTTCTTATTTGAAACACCACGATTTCCAATATCGTTAATGGCAGGATTTCCAGCACACATTGTTCCAACACCACCCACTACTAGAGTGCTTGCTTCTTTCTACCAGTGTCCCAAGGATACCCCCCAGAATATCTTGCCCACCACAACCCCATAGTAAGCTCAATTCTATAAGCCAACTCTCCAGTTCTGTAGAGTATTCTTTGGTTACTGAATTGTTTTATCAGCCACACCCAGCAGTGGTCAGAGGTGTGTATGTACGCGTGTGGAGCGGTGGGGAGAGGGCTGCATTCTACAATGGGCAAGCATCTGCTCTGCAGAGTGGTTTTGTGTTTAGACCCAATGGTAAAAAGGTATGTGTTTCAAAAAATCAAAAACATTTAACAAGAACAAAAAAGTTTTCAAAGGAAGAATGGGAATGAAGTACTGTTCCTTCTAAAATTATAGTGAAGATGTATGATACAACTATGTTCGCGGCTAAGAATACAGGCTTTATAAACAATATGTTATTAGTCAATATTGCTTAAGTGAGGAGAAAAAGAACCTTTAGTAAAGACACTGCTTACTGGTAAACTTTCTGTACTTATAGTAGTCTATTTCTATTTGTTACTGTAACATCGTTGTGCAGTATAAGTTGCAAATACAGGATATCAAACATATTAACTATACCTGGTGCAGGTGTGTAAATTTTAAAATAAAAAATCCTTCCTCAATAATAGGTTGCATAGGGCTATTGAAAAACGACCTTCTATATGATTGCCCTAGGTCAGAATGCACTTTCTTAAATTTAGCTATTGCCTTGTGATTCATTTCACTTCAGTCAGAGGAACTTTCATTCCCTAAGGCACTTATTGAAGAAAATTCTGAAACACCCTAATCAAATTCCTCAAATTTCTACTGCGATAAGACACTGAGACTTGGTATTGTTACTCACCATATAACTTAGCTTACCCCAGGTTGACAGCAGATTATAATGGTAAAAAAAAGGAGTATGACCTTGGATTTTCCTCACAAGACACAAAATGAATAAAACCCATATTATTCCAAAGGGGGAAACTGTCCAAAATAAGTAACAGAAATTTGTAACTTTACCATGGTCTTTCCAGATCCTCGGGGTCCAATAATAAGAGCAGAGTTACTTTCTCCATTGATAGCAGTTCTTTTTAATAGCTCAATTAAATGTCTGAAATGGCATAAAGAAACCAAAATTTTAAAAGGAAAGCTGGAATAATGTACAAGGTGATATATTAAACAACTAATTTGAGATGCAGAGAAAATAAGCTGCTTTCTTGCTCTATAGTTATATTCTCAATATTCCTACAAGGAGAATGCTGAAGATGGCAGGCCAACAATAATTCCCTTTAAAAACCTCAAGGAGAAACCAAGGAAGTTGGCAGTACCTTAGGTGGTATATGGGACAAGGGAGAACAGTGACATTTTACTCCATAGCTGACTGGTGAGAATTGGTTGTAGGTCCAAATTTGCTCTGTCATGACAGAAAACAAAACCTATACAATATTGAAAAGACGACTGAGAACATACCATTATCTAGTTATACCTGCAGTTGCTCTTTGAGACGCATGGTTTCTATAGATAAGTTAACTTGGCTGACCATTTCATTTCTTTTTAGAAAACAAATTACTCAGAATGCCTATGGAATTCTATTTTCTTCAAAGTAAACAAATAGAAAGCATTTTCAAATCACACCACAGGTTACTGTCACCTCTCTGGATTGTTCCACTGTCCCTAATGCCGGGACAGTAGTGGTATGAAATATTATTCACTCTGGGAGGCACTGCTATAAACAAAGCAATATTTTTACCTTTATAAAAAATATTATATTATAAATATAATCATTATATTAATTATATTGGGCTCGAACAATAGCATAGAAGGTAGGGCGTTTACTTTGCATGCGGCCGACCTGGGTTTAATTCCTCCACCCCTCTCGGAGAGCCTGGCAAGCTACTGAGAGTATTCCGCCCACACGGCAGAGCCTGGCAAGCTCCCAGTGGCGTATTGGATATGCCAAACACAGTAACAACAAGTCTCACAATGGAGACGTTACTGGTGCCCACTCAAGCAAATCGATGAACAATGGGAGGACATTGCTACGGTGCAATTACTGTATTAATTTTTCATTTAGGATAAAGTTTATGAATGATTTTTGCAGAATGTGAAGGGCATCATAAATATCCGTAACAAAGATATAGCTAAACTTACTTATACTGCCCTTGAACTCCAAATAAGTTATTATGTGGACTCTGATGACAAAATCGTTCACGTAAAATTCTTTGTACCTGATGAAAATAAAATCAATATTAAAATATTTCAATAATGAAATTAAAACAATGAGAATATAATGACACATCATATTTAAGTATTAATGATTAATTCAGCTTCCCGAAATAATCCTGGTCTTTAAGATTTTTGACACCATTTTTATGGACTGCAAATTTAATAGTTCTTTTTCCTATTTTAAGTCCCAGAAAAAGGATGAGAATTCAACTGTGAAAGATTCAACAAGTGATAGTTTTACTTTAGCTATATCAATAAATTTAGAGCTCGACTGAGGACTATTTTAATGCATGTAAACTACAGAATACCTCACTCTGTATAATATGTCAGTCAATGAATAACATCAAGAGAATTTAAAAATGTAACATAATCTAATAAGTTTATGTACTGTATTTAAATTTCTAAAAACCAACATGATCTAAATTGGTTTAGTTTAAGCCCAATCAATCTGCATCTATCATAAAAATCAAAATTCTCGGCGGTCAGAGTAATAGTGCAGTGAGTAAGATGCTTCCTTTGCATGTGGCTGACCTGGGTTCCGTCTCCAGAACTCATCTAGCCTCAAAGCCAGCCAGGAGTAACTCCTGAGTGCAGAACCAAGAGTAAGCCTGAACACAGCTCAGTGTGCCACCAAAAAACCAAAATAAAACACGAGGACCTATGTAAACACATTCAAGAAGAAATACAGAAAGTAGTTACTCACCCTATAAGTAACGCTTAACTATAATATGGGGGGGGGGGGAGGATGACAATTATCTAAGCTGAAGCCTAAGGAATCAATTAAATGAATTAAAAAAAAACACACATTCCTGTAAGGAATTACAATGTTAGTTTGTGGTAGAATGACTTAAGACAAGTACAGGGCTCCAGACTTGATCCCTCACAGGACATAGCTCTTAAGCACCACTAGGTATAGCCCTGCTGGTTTGCAGCACTGCGGAAGAAGCATCCTCCCAAACCCAAACAAAAACTACAAACACTCCAAAGTTATCTGGGAGGTAGATTAAATAGGTGTATAGACTCTAGGAATAGAACTATACACAAAAATGTGTGTACAGCAAAACATGCACATAACAAATGAAAATATTTGAAAGAGTTAATCATTTTTCTTCCAAGTAAAAGAAAACAAGAATATTTAAAGGGATATATGCTAGTAACAGTTTTAATTAAGAACACAATGTGTTACTGGTAAAGCCCCAGAAATCCTAGGTTGAAATATCATGCCCATTCCCTACTTAGATTAAGAAATATAAGAAAATACGATCTCCTTTTAAATGTAGTATGAGCTTAAAAATTAAATGATCATGATAATAATAAAACTCAATGTACTAAGAATATAAGGGAACTTCTTCAATCTGACCAAGGGCATCTATAAAAATCTACTCTGCCTTATAAAAATCTACTCATTTGTAAAAAATCATACTCATGACCAAAAAACAGACACACTATTCCAAAATGTCTGCTGTTGCCATGTTCGATTCTTAACCAGTATTTAAATGAAGATTCTAGTCAAGTCAATCAGACAAGAAAAAATAATAAAACCAATTGCATTTAGTCACCCATGCAGTGAACGAGTCAAAAATGAATTTAAAAAATTCGTTTATGACATCAAAAGGAATGAATACTTATGAGTTAAATTTAATTTAAAAGTACTAACTCTCATGATAGTACTAAACTAAATCAAAATTAGGCCACATTTTGGAAGACATAGCTTACATAAGGATTACAACTATACAAATAATAATCAAGAACAAAATCAAGAAGTAGCATTAAGTTACTGCTTTTCTTAACAGAAATAGTGATTCTTTATAAATCTCAGGGAAGATGTCAGTAAAGATTACTATTTTTCTGATCATCTTTTTTTAAAAATTTTTATTAGTGAAACACCATGAGGTACAGTTGTAGACATACAAATTTTTGTGCTTGGGTTTCAGTTATACAATGATCGAATACCCATCCCTCCACCAGTGCCCATTCTCCACCACCACTGATTCCAGTATTCCTCTCACCCCCCATCCCCTCCATCCCACTCTACCTCTGCGGCAGGGCATTCCCTTTTGTTATTTCTCTCCTTTTGAGTGCTGTGGTTTGCAAAAGAGACACTGAGTGGCAATCATGTTCCGTCTATAGTGTATTCTCATTCTGATCACCTTTCATGGTAACAGACATACTCACCTGTGAAAGGTTCTCTGCATATATGAAGTTGCTACTCTTAGATTTTCGAGTGCTCATTTCAACAAATTGAGGTCCTTTAAAAAAAAAAGCATGATTACAATAAAAACTATATTAAAGAGACTAAGAGCTTCTGTTATAGACTAAAAATAAACATATTTTCAAAAATGAAAAACAATGTTTTTCAATTTAAAAAATGCAGTGATTCCTATTGTCTAAGTATAAGGCCATTTGACACTCCCATGCCCTAATTTATGTTTATACAGGAGAACTATCACCTTTCCTTTCAATCAACTAATTCCCTTCTTGAACTTAAAAACAAACTTCCTATTCCTGACATTACAACAAACAGGGGAACAGAAATAGTACAGGAGTTATGGCACCTGCCTGATATGTGATCAAATCTGGTTAGATCCTGGATACCACAATGTCCAGCAATGGCAGGGTGCTTAGGGTAATCCCTAGCATCCTAGGGCCCTTGCATCAAACACCATCCAGGTTGGCTGAGAGAACTGCAGGAAGGAACCCCAGAGCATCTTGAGTACTGCTTGGGAGCTCCGGAACAAAAAAAACAAAAACAATCTATGTGCAAAAATAATGAAACAAAACAAGGAAAAACAATCTATGTGCTTCTTTTATACAGAATGTTTACTTCCCATTTACAAAAGACCCTTCACTTTCTGGTTAACTTCTCATATATATACATGCGTGTATATATATAGATATATATACACACATACATATATATAATATATATATCTCCACTACAGACAATCATACATATAGTCACTATAGACTGACTGTATACCTAACTGCCTCTCTTTATTCATAACCATATTACACTAAAAAAATTTAATTGTCAATATTTCCAAGTGCATGGTCTTAAAAATTGCAAGTATTCTAGCATACTGATCCCCAGCCATCAAAGCAAGCAATGATGCATACTAATGAAAAATTACAACCTATGGTGGCCAGGGATATGGCTTAGTAGTAGAGTGGATATCTGCCATGTGGTGAGACACTCTTGAGTTTCATCACCAGCACCACAAACTTAAAAAAAAAAATCTAAATTTCTTCGTAGTGATTCCATATATATATATATTTTATTAGTCAGATAGTCAGATAATAACATCTTAAACAGTATTTACTTATGTACCGAGAACTGTTACAGGTACTTTACATTTATTCACTCCTAATAACCTTAAAGGGTAATTACTACTATAACTTCCCTTTAAAATTATAAGATAATGAATGATGATATTACTTAAACAAAATCAAACAGATTTTGATCAAAGCTGATTATATATACCAAATTGTATAGTTACAATTTGAACCTAATCAAGTTAGGAACATGAAGTACAGTAATCAAAAAATGGAGGACAGTTGCCACCTTATTTAGAAGTTTCTTATATTTATTTATAATTCCTCACATGTATGTATCAAGTTATATTGTTCCGGAGCTCCCAAGCAGTACTCAAGTTATATCCAATGAATGTATTTTTCCCAAAACAGGACCACACATTTCTAAAATAGTATACTTTTCATTTGTATAAAACAAAGCAATATCAGCAAACTTAGGGATACATAAGCTACATTAGAAATAACAAAGAACTGACTACATTAGTCAATTGCGTTTCCCAAATATCATCATCTCCTCTAAAGACAATCCTTTGGGAATCTCCAAACTGTTTCTTAATTGACTGCTATTTCATGAGGCCTAGGAATCACTCCTCTACACTAACTGGCTTAAATGAGCAGCCATGTAGGTCTGACTTTCCTACTGGATTATGTCACTCTATGCAGTTTAACACATTCATGAAATTAGAAGCCTATAAATGCAGAAGATTCTCATTATCCCATCCCAATACTATAAATCAGAGTTACTGACCATTTAAAACTCATTCCTTCATTGACAAAGGGTAAAAAAAAAATGATAGTAATTATACTGTTACCTGAAGCTGCCTACTCAAAATAGTCTACCTACATTTTCTACATTAAGAATCTTAAGACTAAGTTTTAATATAATTTTCATCTATATGAAGAGATGTCAAAAAGAAAAACACTGAAAAGCATTAACTGATTAAAACTATGACTATACTTGGAATGTTGTATTTTAAATGCATGTTAGCCAGGGGCTCAAGAAAGAGCCCAAAGAGCTTGAGCCTCATGCTTTACATTATGGAGGATTGTATTCTATCCCCTGAACAATCCCAGGAATAAAGCCCAGCATTGCCAGATGTAGCTCAAGCCAACCTACCACCCCACTCTCGCCTCAACCTCGGCCCAGTACTTAATCATGTATTTATTCATAGTTTCTACTTATCAACTGTGATGGTTTCCATGTAACACTACTCATTTCTATGCATTTCCAGGAATACATACAAATAAATTCTTGAGAATTATGAAGCATGTTCTTCTCTGCACCTGAGATTACATGGAGTTAATTTTTTTTCTTTTTTTCATTGTTCCTTACTTGTCTCCAAATTCCCACTCAGAACATTCAACTATACTTTGTCTTTGCAATACATTTATTAACTGCTAGGCCAACAACAAAAAGACTGTTCAGGGAAAACCTCTTAACTTCTAAGTAACCAGGAAAAAAAAATGTTATGTTACCAACTCATTAATACATATAGCTCAATATCCAGCCAGATGTCTACCAATCCATGGTGCCATAAAAGTCTCCTCTACTCAACTGACAAAGTCAGTTTAATTTCACCTTAGGATGGTTCTAATTATTGTCTTTCAGATTAACAATCAAGAGAAAACAAACCCAGGTAAACTCTTGATAAAAAAAATATTTTTTCCAGTGTCAGGGATAAAACTCAGGTTATCACACATGTACTTTACACTGAATGATATCCCCAATTCTTAAAACACTTAAGGAAAAAAAATTAGTAAAATGGTATCTTTCAGCATATATGTCCAAAAATTGTACGCAACCTCGAGTCATGTAGTCTTTTTTTTTTTTTACTTCTTTTCCTTTGCGGGGGGTGGGGGGGGATGGGGGTAACACACCTGCATTTGCTCAGCGATCACTCATGGCCAGGCACAAGGGAAGATAATGCAGTGTATGGTATGAATCTGGGTCTGTGCAGGACAAGTTTCTTACCCGATGTACTATCTCTCTGGCCCTTTCCTATGGTTTTTAAATTTTACATAAATAAAATACTATTTATATTTAAAGGAATAAAATATATCAGCTGAATGCATTCTGGGAAAAAGTTAATATCAAAACAATCAAACCAGATATTCAAGGCTGACAGAATAATTTCCCAATGTGTATCTGTATAATTTGTGCATTTTTGATGGCTGTATTCTTAATGTAAATCTTTATTTTCATTAGAAAGCAATATATGTTTTCATAGAATCTTAGGAAAAGGAGTTATGTGAATAAAGCTCACTGTGTCAAACTGAATCAGATTTTCCTTGCTTGTAATGTCTAATCAAAAACTGAAATATAGGCAACTAAAAATGATCTTGGTGGATTCTAAAGAGATGGCAGAGTAGAAAGTACTAAGAATCTTTCTCCACTGCTAGAAAGAATGCAATAGCAGAATCTGTCTGATAAAACAATTTCAAAATTCTGGGGCATATTAGAGTTCGTAATTTCCACGGTTAGACTTAAAAGGCAAATTGCCACTCATTTTGCCAATCATTTTCTTCAATTTCAGCTGAGAACAGTAGCAGTTACCCATCTCACATCACAAAGCCAAAGTAAGGCAGCTATGCCTGTGTTCTTGGAGTGGCAAGAGGACCCTGTCACCCAAATCTGGAGGTTTGGTGCTCCTGACTGCTTGCTGCTTTTTACCTCCCTCATTGTTGCATGCACCTCTTCTTCCTGCTAAAATAACTTCTAGGGATTTTAAAAAGACAGCACCCTCTTCCTCTCCCTTTAAACCACTCCTTTCAGAGCAAGATACTAACAACATGTATAAATGTGAATGTAAGAAAGAAACTTGAAAATTATTTAACTGCTCAAGGAGAGGTACATGCTCAAAAGGTCCAGAGAAACCCTAAGTTTAAATCTCAGGCTTGGGGTGAAGGGATAATACAGCAGGTAAGGCACTTGCCTTTACATGGCCAATTGACCTGGGTTCAACCCTATAATCCCCATCCCATATGGTCCCCCAGGCAATGCCAGGAGTAATTTCTTAGTGCAAAGCCTGAGTAAGACCTGAGCACACCCGGGTGTGACTCAAAACTCAGAAAGGGGGAAATCTCAGACTAGTGATCAGCAGAAACAAAAAACAAATGAACAAACAAACCCATCCAATCTTGGGTTGGAAAGATAATATAGGATGCAGGATATTTCTCTTGCAGCAGCCAATCCAGATTTGATTCCTGGCACCATATGTTCCCCTGAGCCCCTCTAAGAGTGATCCCAGAGTGCAGAGCCATGAGCAAGCCCTGAGCACACCTGCATGTGGCCTCTAAACAAAAGGAAAAAACCTAACTAACCTTGTAGAATGAGGAAATTGACTTTTCGAGCTACTAAGGCGTTAGAATCAATATTCAGTTTTAAAATAAAGACAAACGGTTCATTAATCTCTGTCTCTCTGTGTCTGTATCTATGTGTATACATACACACACACACACACACACACACACACACACACACACACCTTCTACACATAGAAAGTACAGAAGGCAAGATATCACAGAAGGTAATGCATGCAATTAATGCTGATTCTAATCCTTTTCACCACAAGTGGTCCTCCAAACAAAGCCAGGAATAGTCTCTGGAACAATTCCAGGTATGGTTCAAACTCACCTATCCTCAAATATAAACGGAATTTTTTTAAAAAGGAAGGATATAATGAAGGCTACAGAGAGAAAGTACAGCAAGGTGCTTGCTTCATACATAGCAATCTGGTTAGATCCTTAGCATCACAGATGGTCTGGACCTCTGAGCATCACCAAACGTGATTCCTGACCAACATCAGGAGTAAGGCCTCAGTACCACTGGGTGTGGGGCCAAACCAGCCAACCAACCAAACAAAAACCCAAAAGATAAATAAAAGGACCCAGAGGCAGATTAATTAGACCTTAAAATGGCTGTTTAAAAAAATACTCA